GGCGTCAAATTAAACGTAAGATGAGAAAAGGTTGTTTTTTTCTTTGTGGGTTTTAAGAAAGATTTTTCCTTTTCTGATTTTTCTTGGGTTTAATACCCCTTTGATGGTTGTTACTAGGGTTAGGGTCAGATTGTTATGTATAGCTTACTAGGTTTACGTGGATAAACTATCTATACATAGTTAGTGTATGTAGATGTTTTCATTGAATTAAAAACAGTTTGTTTACTGTTTTTTTTTGTTTTGTTTGGTATTGAATTTATTTTGCTTTGGTACAACAACAGTCACTATTCTTGTCTCTTTCTTCTCCGTTTGTTTTGGATCTATTTAATTCAAATGCATCAAAAAGAATATCTGGATCTAGACTCTGCTCGTCCTTAGATCTATTGCTCAATTTAGACATACACATGTTTTTGTACGTATAATCACATAAACATATATCTACACAATGTCATATCACTCTTTTTTTCAAGAATGTAGCTAAGTTTGTATAGACATATAAACTCACTTCACATGGTACGTTGAATTAGTTGGATCACTAGCCTATTCTTTTTTCGTTTCCCTATACACAAGGTTTGTTGACGAACTTGTCTTGTATTCACATGTTTGATCAACGTAGGTTATGGAGAGACAGCAATTGATAGGAACAATAATGGGTCATCGGAGGAAGAAGTCGATATGAATAATGAATTTGTAGATCCGCAAGCTGAGGATAGGGAGCTTAAAGGACAGCTCTTGCGCAAGTACAGTGGTTACTTAGGGAGCCTCAAGCAAGAGTTCATGAAGAAGAGGAAGAAAGGAAAGCTCCCTAAAGAAGCTCGCCAACAATTGCTTGATTGGTGGAGCCGCCACTACAAATGGCCTTACCCTTCGGTAACTTTCTTCTCTTATACTCTCATTAAGCGCATTTGTATGATTGCAAATCATAGTGAAGATGATTACATTGAACTTATTTGTCTTTTTAGCTCATGTTGTTTGTGATTTTTGCTTCCATACTATTGTTAGGGGCATTAGTTTATTTAGCTCATAGTTTCACTGATTCATGCATTGCACAATTTAAAATCCTAATCACGATGAATAATTGAACTTATCTGGTCAATATAATGTTTTTGATCTATTAGTTGATGACAACTTGATTCTTGCTAGCTTCCGTACTTTTTAAGGGTCCGTCCGGATCTTATGTCAATTCACCTTAAGAGAAGGACCAATTTCATCTTATGGCTATACCATAACTTAGCCTAAACTTTGTTTCACATATTTCAAGTCATAACTTTGGAAAGTAGCTCTAATGGAATAGTAGCTTATGTCTTTAATACATTTATAGTGTCATTACCTAAGTTCGTATGCTTTAAGATGGATTCTATGTTACCGTTCCAGTCTACGAAATCGTTGATGTAGCTGTGATCATGGACGGACCCTTTATCGTAGAGCATAAGAATACAACATTGTAAATGTTTATAAGAAAACTTGATGATTGACACGTTTTTTCTTCATGTGGTTATGAATTGGCAGGAGCAACAGAAGCTCGCGCTGGCGGAATCAACAGGGCTGGACCAGAAACAGATAAACAATTGGTTCATAAACCAGAGGAAGCGGCATTGGAAGCCATCTGAGGATATGCAGTTTGTAGTAATGGACGCAACACATCCTCACCATTACTTCATGGATAATGTCTTGGGCAATCCTTTCCCAATGGATCACATCTCCTCCACCATGCTTTGATCGATCCTTGAAAACGTTATTTTATTATATTTATAATCATTAAACAGCTTATAATATTTATAATCTATGGTTCTCGGTATATTTAGGAACATAGGTAAAATGTTCCGATTGATGAACTAGCGTTTGATGTTTCCCCGATAATGAATGATTTGTGGTGTGTATCCTTTTGTGTTATGTGAAATTCCGACTATTATAAAGATATTAAAAGCTTTTTTGATCTGTTCTTTTTGAATTTAATTTAACTTTTGGATTTGACAACCGTTTTGAGCTAATTCGGCTTTAATACTATGTAAAAGTTATGGAATATGGACTGCTTTTTATTTTTGTTGGCTTTGATCGGTGAACAAAAACTTTATGAAAAGCAGTATACTATAACATAAACAGTTTTTTTTTGACAAAAACAAAAACAAATTAAAACGGTTACGATTAAATACGGTTATAGTTAAATACGGTTGTAATGGTTACGGTTAAATACGGTTATAACGGTTAAGGTTAAATACGGTTACGGTTAAATACGGTTACGGTTACAACGGTTACGGATAATTACGGTTATAGTTATTTGATGACTACAATACGGTTAATATCGGAGGCGAAATCTTACGAGTTACCTAACTTATTATAATACTTTTCATAAAATCAAAAAGTATGTTACAAACCAAATTTTCTTCATTTCGAGCAAAATAACAGTATAACATATTTGTTTGAGAAAAGACCATACGATTAGCCGCACGGTTAACCGTACGATTAGCCGTACGGTTAACTGTATTATTAACCGCATAATTAAACTTTATAAAATATAATTGTAACTATGTATAATGCAAAAAAAAGTCTCGAATGTTCAGATAAAGATTTCCGAAAAAGTAAATAATACAGCCTATGAAAAAATCTCATTAGAATAATGGTTTTTTTTCTCAAACAATTATTTTGGAATGTTATATTGCTCAAAATGAAGAAATTTTTTTATTTATTATAGGACTAGTAAATTCATATTATTATTCTAACAATAAAATATTGTTCATTCTATATAATCTTAATTTTCATATGTAATTATATACTAAAGTACATTTCTATATAATTTTTTTTCTTTCTAAATTCTTAATATTATTTATTATGTGTACTGCTATGATGTTTCCAATGAGAGTAAATTTTTAAAATTTGTTCTGCGTTTTTTTTTGTACAGCTTTCATGTTTTATTCTTTTGTACAGCTTTGCACTATTCCCTAACAGCTAACAGCTCCAGCTAACAGCTAACAGCTTGTTACCAATCAGACCCGTTGTGTTTTTCTGTGAGAATGTTGAAGTACTGTTGATGTGATATAATTAACTAAATCTTATTCTCTGATCCAAATGTTTAGATTACCCAGTGTGGATATAGGACATAGCCATATATTAAAACACAAATCTAATTCTCTTTATTATGTTAATTTTTCAATATACTATAACTCTATAAGTTCGTAAACAATTTACTTAATAATCATCTAGTTGTGTAAAGGAAATTAAGGTAAAAATTAAGAAAGAAAAGAAAAGAAAAGACAATAATATTAACAATAATTTTGGAAATCAATTACATTTTACACTTTTTGCACACTTATGGGTTGTTTGGATGGAAGTTGCGGACGAAGCGGTCAAAACCATTAGCGGACTAGACCATTCTATTTTTGGGAGTGACAATAATCTGTTGTAGACCATATTCATTTATATGTAAAAACGGTCTATAGTTGGTCCACTACAGATTATGAATAGTAAATAAAAGCGGTCTAATCCACAAACGGATTTATCTGCCTTGACTCGTTGTAACCATTTGAACCCTAGTTTGCTAATTTTTAATATTTAAGACATTTGAAACATTCCCCTTGCACATTTAAGCTAAGATCGTAGACATTTAGAAAGTTTACCTTTATTTGTAAATATATTATTTTCACTTGTGTTCATCCGACTATATAAAACTTATACTGTATTATTTATCTCTCTATATAAGGGGGTGTATTGGACTAAACATTTGGTATGATTTGGTGAAATTTAGATTTGGAGGAATATTAGTAGGATTTAAGGAAATTGTAGGTGATTTGATCCAAAATCTAAAATCCTTTGTCATTGTAAGTATAGACTTTTCTATAATTACAAAAAACAAAGTTCAGTGATTTGGTGAGATTTATCATTATAGATGATATTGGTGTTGTGTGTGATAATTTTTCTCTCGTCACCTCCATAATGTCAAGTAGTCGATCATTTGTTAAGTAAAAAACTGTATTCTTATAACAATCAATTAATCGATACACCGTTTATGAGAAGAACCATCAGCACATCACTGATTCATAAGCTCTCTCTCTCACAAGTAACACATATGTCACTTTTTTTGGCATCGTCGTCTTCTGCAAAAAAAAATCCATGGATTAGAATCTTCAATCATTCCCCTAGATAATTTACAAACTAATGATTTTAGACACAAAGAAAAAAAAAAAGAACTAATCGATGAATTGATCATTGAAAACAGAGAAGTAGTCAAAGCCATGTGGAGGAGAAGAAGAAGATACAGGGAGGCTTTTGTTTTCACTTTTCAGCAATTTTTTACATAAACGTTATTTTAAAATTTATGTGAAGTCTCTCAAATCCCACTTCTATAGGTGTAATTTTCTTGGACTCTATTTTCAACTAAAAATGTATGTAAAGTCTCCTACAATCTTTTTAAAAATCCTTTCTTAAAATTCTTGTTAATTTTTGAATAACAGTGGATTTGATATGAGTTTTACTAATCATTGATTGAATAACAAGGGATTTTAAATGATTTTGAATGATTTTACATAATTTCATTTTCAATAACATAGGATTTTGAAAGGCATTTAAAAATCATAAGTTGAATAACAGGTGATTTATAGAAAAAACAAAACTCTTCTAAAATTCCTATTTCAATACACCCTCCTAAGTGAATATACCTTTAATCTCATTTTTATGAAAATAAATAATTATTTTTCCATAACACATTTATTTTCTTATTCTCATAAAATTTATCATGGTATTAGAGCAATAATCAACTACTATAGTATAATTCATTCTCGGATCTCGATTCTCGTATTTTTGGGATGGACAAGACGAAAGTAATGAGAGAATGGTTTTATTTTATATTGCAAAGACGAAAGTAATGAGAGAATGTTATTACTCCCAAAGGCCTGGTCTGGCCCAAACCGACCCCATCACTGTCCCAAAAAAAGACAGGATCGGACCAAACTTAATCCAATTCTAGTAATTTTGTCCCTTGGATTGGAAGTTGAAACGCTTTCTGGTTATGCATCTTCACTAACATTTGAATTATCTTGAACCGATTCAAGCATATATTTAGCATTGCTGAGAGAGATTTTTACACAAAAGTATACGCTTACGAGCTTCTCAAATCCTTCTTCTATTGCTCATCATCATCTTCAGTTTTCAACAGCCATAATTTGTTCTATATCCAAAGGCGATTCGTTTCAGTTTTTGCATAGCCACGATCTTCCCTTTGTGTTTCCACTTGATTTAACCTGAAACACAATTCCTTAAGTTAGTGGAATTGTACTGATTAACGCCGAACAATTCGTGTTGTGGGTGATAAGTGATGAATCTATATGGATCTAACATAAATTGGAATATGATTTTACAGATCAAAGAACAAAGATCCAATTTTATCTTGAGACAAAGCAATGCAACAAGAAAACTATTGATCTTCAAGAAGATAGAGGAGTACAATCAAGAAGATAAATCCGGTCATCCTCAAGAAGATATTTCCATCAAGATTTCGAGCGCTAACTAAACCAAGAAACGACTCAAGAAATCAGTATCTCCTAAACAAAACTACCTCTCTACTCAAGATCACTATCTGTTCTCGCTTCTTCATCACTTTCTTCGCACAAATCCTCGGGAGGATCATACACAATCATTCCAGGGAAAAGCTCCAAGAAATCATCTTTCACTTTCTCCCTCAATTCAGGATAAGGAACGAGTCCTTTCAGAATAACTCGAAAAGGCAGAGACAACGGCGGGTCAGGAGAATCTCTCATCTCTCCATACAATCTTATTGCTTCTAACGGAAGTTCGTTATCCAAGAACGCTCGAACAAGGTCGCCAAATGTATGCTGATCAAACAAAACTCCTTCTTTCTTTAAATCTTCCCATACTTTCTTGGTTTCATCCACTTTCTTGTTTCTTGCAAGCATCATTAGCATGTCTCTGTAAAAAAACATATCCGGTCTATACCATATTTCTCTTCTCACAACTTCATAGAGCTGAAACATCATAAGAAGAATAAACATTACACCAAACTCCATATAAACCAAACCAGTTCGGCTAATTCGATTCGGATTCGGTTTACTAGATACCAAGCGGCAAGAAGAAGTATGAAATTGAGTAACTGGTTTGGTTCGGCATTGCCAAACCGATATTACAAAAAATTTATCTTAAATATAACCGAATTCACCAACATATACAAAAATTTATCTTAAATATAACCGAATTCACCAACATATACAAAAATTTAACCGAAATATTGAAAAAACGTCAAATTTTCAATAATGAACCAAACCAATTTTGGTTTTCGGTTCCATTTCAGCACCAATTTCCAAACCGAAACATAATCATTAACACTATCAACAATCTCCATAACCAAACTTAAAACTAGGCATATGAAACCAAACCGAGAAGCTGAACCAAACCAGTTAGGCTAATTCGGTTCGGATTCGGTTTACTAGGTGAAACCAAGCAGCAAGAGGAAGCATGAAACCGGTTCGGAACTGCCAAACCGAAACTACCTAAATTTAACCAGAATCACCGAAATGTACCAAATTTAACCGAAATATTGAAAAATGTCAAATCTTCAATAATCAACCAAACCAAATATCGTTTTCGGTTCCATTTCCAAACCGAAACACCGAAATTTACGAACCGGACCGGACCAATTAACCCAAACACCCAGAATTATCCACACACAGTTCCACAATTTAACCAAATTCATTGATTATACAAAAAAATCCTAAACTGTTACTAATTTCAAAATTTAATTTTTATTACCTTCATACAGAGGAAAACTTGGTTTTGTCTCTGAAACTCAGCGAGAACAGAAACAAGATCGGATTTAAGGAGACGAGAGACATGAGAAGCAATGAATCGATCAAGTCGGACTAATTGGGTTTGGAGTCGCTTGAGCTCTTTGGCAGCGATTAAACCTTCTTTGCTCATTTCTTTCTTCCGTCTCCATATCGATAAGCTTGGGCTTGAAGCAGGTCCTGATTGGTACGTACGAGCCGAATCAACACTAATTTCTTTGGGTTTGGAACCAATTTGGCGAAGAAGATAAAGAACGAAACTTTGATGAATTGAGGATTTAGCTCTGAACATTTAAGAAGTTTTCAAGAGTTTCGAGGGTTTCGTTTCGATACAATGAGAGCAGATTTGGGTTTTACAAATTATATTTTCTTAAAACAATAGCCCGGCCCATCTTGGCCCAATAAGAAATTATATGAGAAATTAATTGATTTTTGTACAAATAAAAAAATGGTAACTGATGAAAATTCAAATTGAGCCACGACGTGGCATATGATTTCGAAAATGTGGATTGAAGAAAAAACAGACTATGATCAGTCAATTGTTATTTTGATGGAGCAAAGTATATGGTGAAAGAGTTTTATAGAGGTTATGAGAGAGATTGTGGCTATATGAGAATGCAAATATTCATCATATATGTGTTGGATATAAATGTCTAAATTAAGGTCTTAAACGGTTGGTCGGTATGCTCTAGACCAGATTAAAGTCAAACCAGTCCGCTTTTTTTCTATCATTCACATAGTTGTATGATATACTCTAAACCACTCCGGACCAATAAAATACATGTTAGCCCGCAATAAACAGTAACTGTTCCTATCCATATGTTTCTTTATACTTTAAAAATAAAGCGTACTGCAGTACTGAGTTTAGCATACCAAAATATTAGTATGCATTGTCTAGTATGTAGGAGACTGATCAACCATTCAAAGGTGTCTTAAAAATGGTTCTTAGGAATATTAAAGTAATAAATTTAAAAATAGCTCTTAAAAATGGCTCTTAAGTGTGTATTTGTTTTTTAGGTAAGCAACCCACCTTAGCTTTAAAGCTTATTTGGGAATTAATTTTAATCATTTAATTGCTAAGATCATCCTAAGAAAATTTTAAGATCTTTCCTTTAATCATGGTCTAAGTGAAAATACTCTTGGAAAATTCAGTTCACAATCTTATCATTTTTGGTGAGCACAAACTTAGAAAACGAATCAAAACATGCCATGTGTCATAAGAATTAATGATAAACTAATTTTGTACCTATTTTATTATAAGTACATTATAAAAGATAATATTAAATTGAAAATAGCTAGAATGACAGATTGTTCAATACATATTTTTTTCTTCTAAATAAGCTTCCTTTTTTCTTTTTCTTTTTGGTCAGAACTAAGAAAATAACTTCCTTATAAGCAAGGGTCATGACCATACCAAATATGACAAATTGTAACGCATATAAACCTCTATGGTCACGTTGGTAATGTGTATTGTCCAAGAACATGACTCTCATTACCCTCTACATGATATAAATATCTTAATTAACGCAAATGGAGAATCCTAATAAGGATTTAATGGAAACTAATCCAAGAAAAATACGGTCATATTGTTACATATGGTTGATAGTATGCATATTTGTATTGATTGTTTGTTCAATATTGTCCAGAGCAGAAGAAAAAGAAGGAAAAAACGAAAACGATGATCATATACCAAAGATTTACTCTGTTTTGGTTGAAGGTGAACCATTGGCCTTTCGTGCTTCTACTAACATCAACAGGTTCACATCATACATTAATTTTTTTTCGAAATTTAAAGAAATTATCATATGGAAATTTTGAATCTTCTTGGTTTAATTCATCTATAGGTTCTTGTTTCTCATCTTTCATGTTCATTCACTATATATCTTTGACTTGGCCAATTTTTAAATTTGTCATTATGTAATTCATTTATTTATTGAGGTATGACTTTTTTGATGTTTGAAAAATAGCAAAGCTATGGCATATGAAGCAAAGAAGATAGTAGAGATTCATGACGAAATACTTGGAAGCACACTTGAAAATGGAAGTTATACAAAGCTTTATAGCTTCAAACATGTCATCAATGCTTTTGCAGTCCGTACCACTGCTTCTCAGGTCCTTCCTCTTACCTAAAAGAATATATAACTCGGTTTACTTTTTTTTGTTGTTGTTTGATTTTACTGTTTTCCAAATTATAGGAGAGAAATGACTTCCAAAATTCACAAACCCTTAGTTTGATCAAATCAAATCAAACCAAACCAAACATTTTAACATTTATTGAGCGAGTTTTGAATAATTTAATAATTTTCCGTTCAATTAGGTTTGGTTCAATCTTTGCTTAATTTAGGTTGGGTAAACCGGAAACAATCCTCTTTTTGATACTTGTAGGCCAAGAAACTAAAGAAAACAAAAGGAGTGAAGGCAGTAGAAGAAGACAAAGGAGTGAAACTAATGACAACATACACTCCCGATTTCTTGGAACTTCCTCAACAAGTCTGGCCTAAGATCTCCAGTGAAGGTGGCAGACGCGCAGGAGAAGATATCGTAATCGGTTTTGTGGACACTGGAATTAACCCTACTCATCCGAGCTTCGCCGCACTCGATCTCACAAACCCTTACTCATCAAATCTCTCACGTTTGAAATTCTCCGGCGACTGTGAGACCGGTCCTCTCTTCCCCGCTGGATCTTGTAACGGAAAAATCATATCCGCTAGGTTCTTTTCCGCCGGAGCTCGAGCTTCCGTGGCTCTCAACTCCTCATTGGATATACTCTCTCCGTTCGATGCCTCCGGCCACGGAAGGTATAAATGTCTCTATCTTTTGAAGGAATTTTGTTAAATACCATTTTGAATTTGATGAATCACTTTTCAAACATACCATCAAGGTAAACTCTACTCAAAATATATCACTAGTCAACTATTATAAATACATGTCTATATTTTTTAGTCAACTACTAATCTATTTTTTCATTTGGTGAACTATAAAGATATGTTCATATTTTGTTGGGAGAATATTGAGATGGGCCTGTGGAGTTGACTCTAAATATTTACAGTAAATATTTTTGGTTTCAAAAATTAGGTTGTAAAAACAATAACTTATGTTAAAGTCTTAACGGCCATATTTTGGGGTAAATTATGTCTTTATGTGTTTGTAAAGTGGTCTATACATTGTTTTGTAAGTTTGTTATGCATTGTATGTGTTGCATAAGTGTTTACTACTTGGTCGTTTGGTTCAGCCACGTGGCATCTATCGCAGCCGGCAACGCTGGTGTTCCAGTGATCGTCGACGGATTCTTCTACGGACAAGCCAGCGGTATGGCCCCACGTGCACGGTTCGTCACATCATTCAGATTAATTAGCTCATATAATAGAAGATTGAAGCCTAAATGATACTATGTTCGAGTTATTTTTATTTGTTCACGTGGCAGAATAGCTGTTTACAAGGCGATTTATCCATCAATTGGAACTCTTGTTGACGTAATTGCAGCCATCGACCAAGTAAACAATGCTCTATAAACAAGACTATAACCTGCGATCTTTAATCAATTTTATTTACTTATTTTAATTTTGTCACGCAGGCAATTATGGACGGCGTAGATGTATTGACACTATCGGTGGGACCGGACGAACCACCGGTGGATAAACCGACGGTACTCGGGATATTCGATCTATCAATGCTATTGGCTAGAAAGGCTGGGGTATTTGTGGTGCAAGCCGTAGGGAATAATGGCCCGTCACCGTCTTCTGTCTTGTCTTATAGTCCGTGGGTCGTCGGGGTTGCCGCAGGAAGTACGGACCGGTCTTATCCTGCCTCCCTTATTCTTGACGGTGGCCAGACCGTTTATGGCGTCGGCCTATCAGGTAAAAATCTAATTCACTTTTATTTATTTTTTAAATGACTTAAACTCTATACGTAAATTGGTTATGATATTCATAATTTTATTTTTCTTTTTACATTTTGAAATTAAAGGTCCAACCCTTGGAGCTCCATTACTTCAACACAGGCTAGTCTTAGCCAGAGACGCTGTTAGAACAAACGGCTCGGTTCTACAACCCCTAAGAAGTGACATTGAAGAATGCCAGCGTCCAGAGAATTTTGACCCAGCCGCGGTTTTTGGAACTATTGTGATATGTACATTTTCTGATGGCTTCTACAATCAGATGTCGACCGTTCGAGCCATCACCCAAACCGCTAGGAATCTTGGTTTCATGGGTTTTATACTCATTGCAAATCCTAGATTCGGTGATTATGTTGCAGAACCAGTGTTATTTTCGGCTCCTGGTATTCTAATCCCTACAGTATCAGCTGCCCAGGTAATTTCATCAATAAATCCATCATAAACATTGCAAGAAATAACAGTGCTTTCTTTAGGTAAAGTAATAGAAATAATTGTCATAACATAGTTTTGGGCGAAAAAATATTCGGCTCCTTGTTTATGTTGAACTATTTGACACAATAAAAATAGTAGACATAAGTATTGATCAGCAAGAGAAGCCAAAAGATTAGGCAGTAAATGTTATAAGAAGGATATATAGTAGAATCTAGCAAATATATAAGTTCGAATATGTAATTTGTTGTGGAGGAAGAAGACTATATTACATAGTATGTTACTTAGTAATAATGAAATCCACATTTATGTGTAGCAATGAACTTGAGTGGAGTACGTCACTACAAACTGACCATTTGATTTGCATTGTAATTATATTTCAAGGTTTTCCTCTACATATATTGAGACTTTATCATGTTAGATTATTTTGAGGTACTACGAAGAGAAAACCTACAGAGACAAGAGAGGAATAGTGACACAATTTGGGGCACGTGGAAGAATTGATGAAGGACGGAACTCGGTCTTCGCCGGAAAAGCACCGGTCGTGAGCAGATTCTCTTCGAGAGGACCAGCTTTTATTGATGCAAATCGGAATCTTTTAGATGTGCTTAAGCCAGATATTCTTGCACCTGGTCACCAAATATGGGGAGCCTGGAGCCTCCCTAGTGCCTTTGATCCTATTCTCACTGGTTTTAACTTCACACTCCTCATATTTTGTTATCTTATGAAATATACTCCCATAAGTTTAAAATTGATCATTTTTTGAGTAGGACGGAGCTTTGCAATATTGTCGGGAACAAGCATGGCCACTCCTCATATAGCGGGGATTGGTGCACTCATAAAACAGCTTAATCCTTCTTGGACTCCGGCCATGATTGCATCGGCCATCTCCACCACGGCCAACGAATACGACAGTTCTGGTGAAGTTATATCAGCGGAGTCTTATGAAATAAGTGGATTATTTCCTTCTAATCATTTCGATCATGGCGCGGGCCATGTTAATCCTGCTAGAGCCTTAGATCCTGGACTGGTTTTACCCGCTGGTAAGTTTTTTACATATCATGGGAAAGAAATGATAAATTACAAATTT